CCTGTCCTTTTCATTATCTTACATATCTTATCTATCATTATTTTCTCTTTTCCTTCATAGTTATTTATCAATGCACTTTTTAACTATAGTTAAAAGCATTTCATTTTGAAAACAACTAATGTAAGACACGTTGTGAATAGTATTTTTTTTTAAATCAACATATTCTTATAATTTAAGAAAAATCTTAATCAAATACTACTAGATTTAGTTTTATAATCTTAATAAAATACCTTAAAAATTATTTATATAATTTATAACCAATACAAAATAACAAATTATGAAACTAATGAGACTAATTTCAATATTTTATTTTTATCTACTATTATAAAGCCATAATTGTAAATCTGATTGAATCCAATAGAAAGAAAAAAAGGTTGAGAGAAGTGAGAAAGCAAGAAGAAGAATAAAGAAATTGCAAGTTGTGTTTATTTAGCTAAAAAACTAAAAAAATGTTGACAGCTGAAAGATAAAGCACCAAGTTGACACAAAATAACAATATCAATTATATCTAAATAAAAAAATTGAAAATGAAAGCCCAAACATTAAGAAAGCGACACCTGGCAGACGTGAACTGTACCTAAAAATTATCCTTTTTAGTCTTGGTTAAAGAAAATGAAAGAAAATCTTTAACAATAGATTAAAATAAAATAATAATAATAATAATAAAAATAATAAAAAATTTAGAATTAAACAATTCAATAAATTATTTCTATTTTTTAGACTAAATCATTTTATTTTATCACCTATATAATGTTTTCTATTTACTAAACATCATATTTAATAAATTATTCAACTTACCAACTATTTATTTTATCTATTTCATTTCATTTATTTTTTTATTTGTTTCTTTTTTCTCATTACAAAACATAAAATAATTGTTTCTTAAATGTAAAATCGATTTTGAAATATAAAATCGAAGTTAACGATCCAACATTAACTAAGTTTTTAAATCATCTAAAGATCTAAAAATTGTCATTAATTCTAAGTTTTGTTGTAACAATTCATCTAAACCATTCATAAAAATATTTTCAAAAAACATTATAATGTGAAAGTCAGTTTAACGTTTAACAGTTTAGATAAATTAATAAATACATATAATCTATCTTTTTACTCCAAATTTATATTTATAAATCTTAAAATGAGTTTTTCATTAACAATCTAATTACGGTATATCTATTATTAATAATCATGGTCTCTTTAAAAAGTTATTTAACATGAATATCATATTCACAATTAAAAGATGAATTTAACTCCTTATTCAGCAATTTGAATAATAACTTGTTTGTGCATATGAATAAGAGCTAAGTAGACCACACACTTACATTTCTTTTTCTTTTATTGATGAGAAATTAAGGAAAGTGAGTAATTAAGACATTATATTTCATGGTTTTGTAAAGAGGAAATAAAAAGAATACTTTTTTGAATTATTATTAAAAAAATCTTTTTCTTTAAAAACTCGAAGAAAGTGTTTGAGACAACTTGGTTGAATTTTGAATACCCTACAAAATCAGCCTTCGAAATGCTACTTTAGAATCGTGCTGTGCCAGCTGGACCAAGATGACATCGTTGACACGTTTCACAGTATGATTTGTCCTTGATAGAATCCGTACTCACTCAGTTACTCTATGCATGTCTTCAAATATATTACACTTTTTTTCCTCTTCAAATGTTTCTGTTTATGGTTCTTTTTCTTGCTTTTTTTTTCATCTTCTTTGGTTTTCTTCCTCGTACCTTCTCTTCTCTTTATCTCTTTGCATTTTTGCTGCTTCGAGTTGAGTGTGTTGCCCTGTGCTTTTTGTGGACCGAATTGTCCCTTCTCAGAGGTGAAAATTACAGATAATTTTACGCCACTTTTGCAAACAAGTTGCTACTTTTCTTCTTGTCTGTTTTTGATTTTACTGTTTCTCAGATACCCTTTTCCCTTTTCTTTCCCACAAAGCAAACCATTGTTTCTATTATGGCTAAAGCCGGTTCCGTAAGCTGAGTCACAATCTGGGTTTGTTTTGCTTTGGTTTTTCTTGTATTTTTTTTTTATATCTAATTTCTAGATACCGATCCATTTTTCTCTTCTTTTTTGGTAGTTTTATTTTTCTTTTTCGTTTGAAAGGAGGGTTTTCTTAAATTTCTAGTTTTGAGTGGGGATTCTGTGGAATCTAGTGAAGGGTCATTTTGGAGTTTAGATTTGTCTATGTAGTAAGGATTAAGGAATTTATGTTAAGCTTCAGGTGCCATGTGAGATGTGTCATGTCTTTTAACTTTGTTCTGTGACGTGGCTGCTGTAGATTGGGTTATTGGTGTTGGGAAATGAAAATTTTCATTTACGTGTAGCTCTGGAATGCTTAGCTTTGTCTGATGCATTTAATTATCTTTTTTTATGTACGTATGGTTTGAGATTGTTTTTCACTCTTAGATGCTTGAATTTTGAATAATTTTTAAGGCTGGTCTTGGTTGCAGTACTGTTGCTTGAACTGAAATACCACTCTATCTATGATATTTGTTTTCTGCATTTGAGTTTTGTTGTAAGAACTAATGGTTTATATTTCATGCCTCATTCTTTATGAATATTGCTTCATCAGTTGTTTCATTCCTCCTTCCATGGAAATTTACACCCTTCATTTTCTGTTTGAAAATATAGATAGGATTTTATTGATTATAACTTATGAAGCATAGATAGCTCAATTTACATATTCTGTTGTATTTACTACAAATATCATATCCATGCACTATAGATTTTAAGACTAGTAAGATACTGAATAACAATATACTCATGAAGTTCACCACAGACCAGAGCATTGGGAGGGAGAAAAACATATATTTTCTTGAAAAAACTTTTAGTATGTTAGAAAGCAGTTTGATGATGTCAATTCTAGTTATATGGTATGCGTTTTGGATGTTATTGTTTGCATAGTTCAGTATTAGTTACATTACATTAGTTATATCCTGATGTTTCCTGATTAACATGAATTGCACAATTAAGAAATCTGGTCATTAAGATTTGTCATATGTATGAATATTCTAAAGTATGACATGGAAAAAGTAATAATAAGAAACTAATGAGTGTTCTGTGTAAACTTCAGGTGAAGAAAATGATTCTCACTAAGCAGTATCGATGTGTACATTCAGCTAGATGTCAATGCACCAAGGGACATTTAAGTGAAGATGTGATATTCTTGGTGTTTCAGCGTTTGAATTGGAACCCCAATCTAATTGCTACACTGTCGTGTGCATGCAAATGGTTTGATGATATTGCAAAGAGGGTTTTATGGAAAGAGTTTTGCAGAACAAGAGCTCCTAAGATGATGCTTGATCTGCAATCCAGTGGAAGTCACAGTGCAGATGGGAACTGGAGGGCTCTGGGGAAGCTTCTCATATTCTGTTCTGGTTGCACACAAGGTGGTTTGTTCGATAATGTTGAGGTTCCTGGTCATTTTGTTAACAAGACTCGGTTTTCTAAAACACTAGGAAAGAGCTTTCTCATGCCACAGTGTCTGAATGATGTTTTGTATGTGTCTGAGCCTTGTGAGCATATTGACCAAGGTGAAGCTGGTGATTTAGGATTCTTCAGAGGAATTTTCAAGTCGTTTGCATCATCAAACGTTAAGAAGATGATAATTAACAGAGGTGCACAGCTCCATCCAACCGAGATTTGCCCCTATTGTAAGGCTAAGTTGTGGAGTATGCTACAGGCCAATATGATTCCACAAACTGCTAAGTGCAGGTTGGGTTCCCATAAAGATTATATTGAGTATTATGTCTGCCTAAATGGTCACTTGCTTGGGGTCTGCACATTGTTACCACTGTCTGATTCAGAGGATGTATCTGAAAATGAGTAAGATATTAATGATTCTCAGGTATTTTCCTGTGTCTGTGAAGTCCATAATTTCCTGTAATATTTAATTATCATTTTTTATGAATGAAAAACTAGTTCTATGTGAGAACTAGACCCATTTTCATGAATTTTGGTTATGTTGATGAGCAACAACTTATCTTTTTTAACAGGAGTTTCAGTTTATTATTGGTTAAAAGTTTCTAGAAATGGATACTATTCTCTCATCAGAATTGAATTGAAGTTTCATCTGGGTAATATCCATTGACATTTATTAGAATTTTTATTATGCAGATTATCAAGATGAAACTCCAAATCTGATTAGAGAACACACCAACAACACGAATGATGTTAGACCAGTTTGGTTAGAATTTGAAAATATTTTTAAGATAATCACTTAAAAAAAAATTAATTTTTTTTAAAAAAAAGGGAAACTGTTTATTTATAAGATAAGCAGATTAGACAAACACCCAAAAGAATCTGAAATATGTATATTCTTTTAAAAAACACTTTTTGAAAAAAATGAAGACAGACAAACTCATTCATTGTATGCATTATCTAATTTTCATCTGAAATTGTGATGTTTCCTTGGCAGATTGGAATTCAATCTTAACATGAAATTTGGCTGAGCGCAGTGCTGTTTGCTCAAGGGTGAAATTGTGCTCAGCAACAGCTATAAGTCTCATTTTGATTCAAACCTCCACATTGCATTATGCTTCATGTTGCTGTCTCAACTCATGCCAGCATTTTCCACTGATTATAAATATTGCCAACATTTTTTTTAATAAATCAATAGAAGGTGGTTCTTTACTTAGAACTATGTGGTACACTGAATTGTTTTGTTAGTCCACATACTTTCAGTCAAACATGGACAACATCTTTATATTTTTTTGTCAGACAAGAACAGAGTCTTGTATTTAGTTATCTAACTATGAAATTAACTGAAATCAGAAAATAAAAATTGTAGAAAAAAAAATTATTAATCAATAATTAATGAAGGTAAGAAAATAAGATATAACGTATTTTTCACTCGACACATTCCACCTAAAATCATGAGAACTTTTAACATGACAATGACTGCATGGACACAGTTGAAACTGCACTGTATCTGTCAAATGAAACTAATTTTACGTACTGATTCTGATCAATGACCATTTTATCAATCATTATGCCATAAATATACGCATCTGACATTAATGTTACCAATTACAGGCCACAAATTTATTAAGTAAACAATTTTCAACTTTAATAATGATAAAAGGAATAATAATCTTCGTAGTACTTTTTATAAGATTAAAGTATCTCGTTTATCAAAAGTAAAAAATAATTAAACTAATAACATTAAAATTGTCTTAATTAATATATTATTTTCAGAATGACTTAGATTAATTTCTTATAGAAGATATTAAACCTAATTTTCTTTAATACATGCCAGGGGTTTACTAACTCATGATTAATTCATAAGAATTGGAACATTTTGATCCACTCAATAGACACCCGAATTTCAATTTTGATCGTATGAAAAGGTTCCAAATGAGTACATAAATTATATGCTAAGAAAGTGAAATAATTTTACTTGGTAAACTAATCACAAATATAAATATGATAATTTAGTTTACTTCTATAATAATACTACTTTAAAAATGACATCACTGCTGACACGTGATAGGTTGACTAACTGTAGAACTATGATAAATACTGCCAATGTAAAGCCATTAAACTCATAATTAAAAAATTATCACTGGGGATTGTAAATGTTGTTCACTCATAAAATTGTGGTTATATAAGTTAACAGTGTTTATTGTTCTAAATTTGCCCTGTTTCTATCTTTTATCCATTCAGATGGAGTATATTCTTCCCTTGTGTACTTCAATAATCCAATTTAAAGGACATATACAGAACCTGGGAATGGGAGAACCTATTTTCTTCAATTAAGGATGAACTTTTAGGCAAACCACAACTTCATACCTTTCTACAAAACAATGTTCTGCATGATTTGCTCAAATCATGTCATTTCACTCTTTCTTTCAGTCTCTTAATGGACATAACTAGTTACAAAATATCATTTTTTTTCTACTCAGTCTCTTCATCTTCCTCTGCTCCAAAATCCAACCCAGAAATTTTCATCTTTCCTATGTTAACTGCAATTATTCAAACATCAAATAAAACACTAAGCATGCAAGGGGTGAGGAACTGGTCCAGATATATAATAAAATGCATTGAACAAATTAAACTGATTGTAATCTTTGTGCTTAAGCTCATGCATGCATCACACTTCTCAATATCAAAATTGTAGTTTGGTGGTCCAAAAGAATGCAAGATTCTGTGAAAGAGAAAAAAAAGTGTCCCATGCAAGTACATGCCATGCAAAAATTATGAGAATCAAAATATCACAGTAATCAAATACAACAGCATCTAGAAACCTGCCACAGGCTGAAATCTTCAGGTTTAATCAATTTAATAGTAAAAGAAAGTATAAGAAATATGACGCTGGTTTCTTTTAGCAAAGTGCAACTCCAAGAAGAATGCCTCAGTGTTCGGTTCAGATTGCATGGCATGATCAAATCCTGGTCTCTTCATTACACTTTCACTTCCTCCATTCAAAGTGCATGAAAAGATATACAGGCCCACAACAGGGAAAAAACAAAGAAAAGGACCATAAATTATCAAAGATCTCACAATTGTGTATGAGTGTAGAACTATCATCCAAGACTAGCAACAATTTAGAACTGTGAGAATACTCTTTTGAGCATCTCTCCATTACTTCACTGTTTAACCTTTTTTTGATAAAATAAAAAGGATTCTTCAGAAGATAAATTTAAAAACAATAAACCAACCAAAGCCTTATCATACTAAGAGAGGTTGACTACACCAATCACATGATGCCATTGGTCTTGGTAAACGAGATGATAGCATTAAAAACAGCCGACAGAAGTAAACATGGAAAAACTATTGAAGGTGGAAGGTGTGAAGTAACTTGTGTCACATTCACTTACCAACAGCATCCATCCCAGCTAACTTTGGCATGAATTTCTTGATGTGGTCTTCTGCTGCTTTATCGGCTTTCAGTGTCTCACACTCGAATGAAACAGAGATTCTTTTCTTCCCATCCTTTTGTTCAACCATACCAGTGATATCCTTACCCCAACTGTTCAAAGTTGGATGCAAACAATAAGTGGAATATGCCAGCAATGAACTTGTTATCATAAAAAATTCAAAGTGAAGAAAAATGTAAATGAGTGAGAACTTCAATCTGTGAAAAATTCAAACATGCTCTGAAAGAGAACTAACCAGCCAACAGAAGACAAAGAATCAAGATAAATAGAGAAAAATTAATCTAACACTGGCAATTACTGATAATCACTCATGTTAAATACAGGTTGAAATACAAATGGTAGTTTCATTCATTTGTACTTTTAGTCTTTTAGGGACCGGTAGTTTAATAATTGCAAACTATAATGAAAAATCCTTCACAGCAAATAGGGGGAAATAACCTAATGAGTAGAAACCATAAGGACTAAGAAACCCAGATGAGTGGGAAATAGTGACTAAAATCCAATTTGTGTGAAACTATAGTGAGTAATAGTTCAATCTAAAATAGAAAATAATCTTTACGAGGACCATAGGAAAACTAGATAATAACTTGTGGATTATCTAATTATGTGTTTCTTATAAGCTGCTCTGTTCCATTGGCATGCTAAACAGCAACAAGCTCATTTGTCTGTAAACATAATTATAGTTAAATACTTGTAGAATCCAATCACAAAGATTGACTTCATTTACTTGACTATAGTCCAAAAGTTATAACTTATACCTACGCAGTTGCCTTATTATAGAAATGTAGTTTCCTCAAAATAATATTATTCTCACTGTTTAACTAGAAAGTTATACAGACTAAGAACCAACTTAAATTAGAAAACAAAATCATAAAGCACAGTGAGCACTCAAAAAGAGACTATACATGAAAACACTGCTTTACCCATGAATATGATCAATGCTGTGGAACCGTGCAGCATCATGGCCTTTGCACTCCACAACAGTGGCTTGCTCTTTCTTTGTCTATTTTACGAAAACCAAATGTGAATAAAGTATACAAAGGAAGGAAAAGACAAACAACATAAAGGGCACAATTACTACATTGAAATCTGTGATCGTGAGTTTGATGACGCGATAATCCTCACCCCTACTGCATTCCCTTTCACATGCCAATTCTTTCATGAAAAAAAAAAAAAGTACACGTAATTACTAGATGGATACAATAGTGCATAAAAAAAGTCGCATAAAAGAGGCAGATCAAATACAGGACCATGAACAATTACTAAAAATAGTTGTATAAGAATTGATGCACTAAAAAGGATATTTACTACTCTTGCAAGCTGGTAGTAATAACTACAATCTTTAGCTGAAAGGCTAACAAGAAGTTAAATTAGTTGATGAATTTAGTTTAATTTAATTTTAAGTCAAATAATATGGAACCTACGGGCCATTTACATCAATTCCTTGTATAAAGCATGGACATAAAGGAGCCCTTAAAATTTTAAATAAAAACAAACCAGTTATCCCTTAATACCTAAAGTTCATTACAAGGGAATAATTCTAATGTGATAAATACTATATCTAATCACAACAAGTTACAAATACTATATCTAATTTTTTGTTTGTAATTACACAATTATTTTTTAATATTTAAATTTATTATTTTAAAGGAAATTTAAATTTATTATAATAATTTATTACCTTAAAAATTAAAATAATAGTTTTAAAATTTATAAAAACTTTGAAACAATTTAAAACATTGTCAATTAAAAGATGCTAACTTTAAGAATTTATAAAAAAAATTAAAACATTTAATTTTGTTTATCAATTAAACAAACTTATCTCAATATATTTTATAATATCCACAAGTTTCACCTAACTTAAAAATAGCAAAGCAAAGTAATTTATAAAGATATGACAAAAATCATCTCATGTTTTTAGAATAAAAAATATTTCCTATAAGAAGAGTGAGACACCTTTAAAATATAAGAAGAGGACTTATGTCTTAACTTCAATTAGGAATTGTTTTCTTCAAAACTCTCACTTTTTATTTAAATGAGAAAGATCTGGTTATAAATAAAATAAGAGCATGAAGATCATATAAAATCTTAAAGTGCAGAATAAAGAAGGGTAGATTGGTCCAGAAATATACAGCTCCCACATGCCATTAATTTAGAGAGGATATTGTTGGAAACGCGGATCGCGGCATAACCCTTTGCATATCTAACCGGAAATAGTACGTTCCAAATTAACTTAACCAATTCATTTCCTCTCTTCATCCAATGTCTCCATCAACACCAAGCACTCACTCAACCAAATTCATATCAGATCTTCTAACACATTCTTTTTTAAATTTTCTTAATTTATATAACTATTTTTTTTAAGAGAGACATCATAAAGTTTTACATAAATAAAAAATATAAATAGTATCTTTAATAAAAATCAATGAAGGAGAGACATCATAATAGATTTAATTTCTAACTTACCCACATCAAGATTTAATTTCATCAGAACCATATACTTTAATTTTCAAATTCATTTTTTTCTTCCTTTTTTGACATTATTAATCGAAATTAGGGATATATATCACAAACTGGTAGTTTTAAAACTAACTAGCTAGAGTGTTAATTAAAGTTTTTAGTATAATAAGTGTTTAATTTTATATATAATTTTTAAAGAATTTATATGTGTTTTGATCGTATTATAATATAATTCTAAATTATCACTACAAAATTCACTTAGAAAATAAAAACTGTCCATATTTATATGTTTATTTAAATTTTATCTTTAATCCATGCATGTAAAAGTTAGGTATTTTTAGTGAATTAATTGAACTTCAGTAAGCTCATTAAATGAGATCATATAACAATATATTAGTACGTTCTTT